TATGTCTTTTTTATCATTGCCGCCTGACAGCACAATTTTGGCAATGTTTTTATGTGTAAAATAAAAACGATGATTCCTTGAAACGCCGACATCAATAAAACGCAAGTGATTTTTAGAAAGTTTTTTGCATATTGCAAGGTGGCTTTTTTATTCTTGATAATTTGATACAATTTTTTTGATGATATTTTGCCGCCCTGTGTTAGTGCCGCCCGGGTGCGATGCACCCCTTGCACCCCCGGCACGGCTCGGCCCTGAGAATAGGGTTCTTTTTCCAGAATGTAATCAAAAATAAGTTTTTTATAAGATTTTATAGAATATAAATGCAATGAAACTTTAATATTTTGAGGCAAGTGGTTAAAGAAGAATAGGCACAAATAGTAGCAGCCTTTTTCTAAAATAGCAAGTCTGTGCTTTGGATACAGAAAATCATTACTTCTTAGAGACTTTGATTTTGACTCCAAGAATAACTTGTGGTTTGATTTTAAAAAATAGGAAAATTTCATAAATGACCTCTACATCATATTGTAAGTTTAAAATTGACCTTATCCATGGTTGACCAATGGTTGCAAATTGAATAATAGTGGGATTATCATTATCATTGCAACCTAAGCCAGCTCGAAACGACTGTCTTGGTTAAGGGATCTGAGTATTAGGGATTTAAAATCTTCTTTTGTTAAAAGATAGATCCAAATTTGCCTAAAGGCGTGGTTAACCAACCAATTTGTGATAGAGGCTTGATGGTCTTAATTGTGTAAGAAGTGTTAATTAACACCACCTCCTTGTTAATTCTTTGGTATATCCAAAATTTTACATTTTTAAATTCTTTAGGCCAAAATTTTACATGTGAAGATCATTTTCTTTCAGGTGGCTTTCTAAATCGCATTCGTGCGCTTCAGATGCAACTCAAATGTGGACATATATGTAAGGCATCGCGACTTAAGTCGCACGTGTGCACTCCAAGTGCGCGCATCGGAACTACATTTTGCTATCTGGGATTATAGTTATAATATTATATTATTAATATTATAATTGAGATTTCAGTTATGAAAATGGAAATCTACAATCTAAATTATTTCTGAAACCACAATATTTGTGAGATTATGAATAAAGACCTTTTTTGTATAGAATTAATAATTATCCATAGTAGTTTTGTCCTTTTAACAAATTTTTTGAGCTTAGGTTTGTGGGTATTCGGACAGGAAAATTAATTAATTAAATGCCCTCGAAACGTCGGAGAATTTAAAATAGGTTTTTACAAAAAAAATATTTGTTTACTTTTAATTTTAAGTGCAATTGGCCTAAGATGTTGACTTTTATATATATTTTTTTCCTTAAAGATAAGGATTTTTGCTATTACAAAATTAATTTGGAAAAAGGGTGACCCAAAAATGATTTTTAAAATTAAAAATCGCATACGAATTAAAGGAAAAAAATCACAAGGGCTAAAAGAAATTTTTCATTGATAAAGATTTTTTCTTATTGATAAGGATTGGAAAAATCAGATCAAACGCTGAAAGTTTGTCTTGCTGATTTTAGAGAGGGTCTAATGCAATTAAGAAGTTTCGAAATTATTACCTGTTTTTTTGCTAGCTGAAACCATGTTTTTAAGATAATTGGTAACCTGTCTGAATGGTAAATCTTTGCTGTTTTAACACTTATGAAGATTCCATCCAAAACTTTGTGAGATTCCTTAGACAAAGAAATTCTATAAAAGTTGAATTTTCTTTGATTGTTTTTATTTTGTTGAATCTAAAACAAATTTCTGTGGTAATAAAGTATTGATAATAATTATTCTCAAAATTGAACTTAAATAAAAACAACCTTATTTGTATATACCTAACTCATTTTTAATGCTGCTCAAAAACTTAATTATAATTTGAAAGTCCTCTCAATAATTTAAAAGTTCTAAATAATGATAAACTTTTTGAGCATTATTAAAAATGAGTTATTTTACAAAAATAGTTTTTGGCGCTTGGTTCCTTTTAGATAAGGATTGCCCATTTATACTCACCATTACAATATTAGTTTATCAACCGTTTTGGTTAAAGCAATATTTTATCTACGATTTTTATTGGATAAAAGGCAGCTTTAACTTTATAATGTTAGCTATAAAATAATATTTGGTTGGTAATACAAAATAGCAATTTTCCCCACTTCTTTTTTTTCAACTTTTAATTTGGTTTAGTTTTTCATAACAAAAATTTATTATCAAATTTTAACATTTTTTTTTTATTTATTAACCCAAAAAGATTACAAAAGAATCCATAACAGGTAACAAACATAATTATGTGGATACATTTCTCTTGTTTAATAAATACAACTTAACTAATGAGGTAAAAGTACATAGTAATTTCACATTTTTTATATATTCTGGCAGTTCATTAAACCATACCACAGCAGTGTGTCCAATTCTTCGCTGACCTATGTTTCTAGCACTAGGTAAAACATGATAATGTTGATTTGTCCTGGTGTTGTGCTGATGTATATTGCAGTTCATTTGTAGAGTTAATTCGGTTTGTATCATGTTGGTTTTGATTTTAAATACTAATTTTAATGAATCCAGTTTAATAATCTCGTGTATTTGAAACAATTTTAGATCATGATAAAGTATTGAGGTGTTTGTTCTTGGAGGTTTACAAAATATAAGTTTTACTGCTCGATTTTGAGTGACTTGTAACTGGTTTAGGTCATACTCAGTCGCTTGGCCCCAAATGCATGGGAGGTACATTAGGTGACTATTTATATATACATGGTATAAATGGTATTTAGTCTGCAGATTAAGAAAAACTGTATTTCTGCGAATAAAAAAGCATGCAGAATTTATTTTGTTTTTTATATTTTGTATATGCATTCTAAATTTTAATTTATTATCCAGTATTAAGCCAAGATATTTTGTGGATGTCACTTCATCAATAATTTCATTGTAAATTTTTAAATTATATTGGTTATCACAGTTATTATTAAATATCATATAATTCGACTTACTTTCGTTTAATTTTATACCATTTTCGGTGGTCCACTCAGTAATTTTATTGAGATCACATTGAGCATCACTAAACATTTTTCCTTTAGTTCCACTATAAATAAGGGCAGTGTCATCTGCAAATAATGTTATCTTACCACTAATATCACAGTTTGTAAAATCATTCATATATATTAGGAAGAGAAGAGGGCCCATAATTGAGCCCTGAGGAACACCAGTTTTAATTAATTTACTATCACTTATTTTATCACAGATTGTTGTATATTGCTTTCGGTTACTAAGGTAACTCGAGAATAACTTAAGGTACTTGCCCTTAACACCAATTTTGGAAAGTTTTTCCAGCAGAATCTTGTGGTTAACCACGTCAAATGCCTTGCATAGGTCCAAAAAAATTACCAAAACCATTTGATTTTTGCCTGTATTTAAGTATATTTCTTCCATGAGGTTGGTCATTGCACTTTGAGTACTTTTTTTATTTTGAAAACCATGCTGTTTGTTACTCAGGAAGTTTATGTCTGTAAGATATTTTGTAAGTCTCCTATGGAGTACAGTTTCAAAGATTTTGGATATGGAAGGTAATACTGAAATTGGCCTGTAGTTAGAAAGTTCCGACTTACTTCCTTTTTTGTGAATTGGTGTCACTTTAGCTAGTTTTAGACTATCTGGAAAAATCCCTTGTTGGATATGGTTGTTTATGGACTTAGAAATAACTGGTGAAATAGTTGTTAATACTGAAATCTTAAGCCCATCAAAACCTGGGGCAGCATTTTGTTTTAATTCTCTTATAATTTTTGATATTTCCTCTGGTGTAGTTTTTGCAATGTACAGTGAGCTTTTACAGTTATATTTAAACCGAGTACTTTTTAATGTGCTGGCATTTGGCCCGACTGTATTTTCTACAATATCTATAAAATGCGTGTTAAAGGTTTCTGCAATTTCTTGTTTGTTTGTAATGATTAAATTATTGAATTTAATTTCTTCACAACTTTCTTGTACTTTATTAAGTCCAGTCAGTTTTTTTAATATTTCCCATTGTTTTTTAGGCGTGTTATTGTTCTTAAGTTTGGCTTCAATATGCTTTTTTTTGTTATACTTAATTTCATTTTTTACTTCCCTGTTTAATTGTTTAAATTTGTTCTTGAATTCTATAATACTGGGATATATCTTTGAGTTTGCATAAAGTTGGTCTCTCTTTTTAATTTTGGATTTTATTTCTTTTGTAAACCAGCCTTCTTCTATATTTTTTGTATATTTTCTTGTAACAGTTCTTGTAGCATATAATCTTTCTTCATTTATGATTTTATTCACCAGATCTAGATTTAATTTTTTGCTGCATTATTTTGTGGTCTGATATGTGATGATTACTTAGGTCTATTTTATGTTTAAATTGCATATCAGTGATTATATGATCAATAATAGTTTTTGTACCAGTGATTGAATCAATACGAGTAGCTTCTTTACTTGACTTTTCGTTAAGTATTTCAAAACCACAACCTCTTAAAGTATCTTCATAGTGCCTCTCATCATCAAGTAGATTAATATTCATATCACCAACAGTAACTTTTTTTTGCCCACCAGTTTTTCGTTGAGATCTTCTATAAACTCTAGCTTTGAGGAGCTTGGTTTTCTATAAATAGCGCCCACTTTGAAATTTAGATTTTTAATATTGAGAATCAGAAAATTGTTAGGCTCACTTTCTTCGGCTATAACATCATAATTTAAGACTTTTTTCAGAAATATTGAAACACCACCACCTCTTGCATTTTTACGACATGAATGTTCAGCATTATAATTATTAAATTTAATAGACTTGCTTTCGTCACTATATAACCATGTTTCAGACAGAACTAATATATCTGGCTTTTCATTTATTAAAATTATGTCAATTTCATCAAGTTTATTTCTCATACTACGGATATTAATGTAGATGAGTTTTGTTTTTAGTTTTTTAAATTTTCTAAGGTTTCAATTGACTTTATAATTATGGGTTTGCTTGTATCATTCTCTCGGACATAAATCACACCTTTCTTGCACCATACAAATTTATACCCTTCTTTCTGGCTTCTGTAAAAAGGTTTCTGTTACATTTCGTTAGCTCATCATTTATGTAAATGTCACTGTCAGTAGATAAACGCAAAACATCAGCTTTGAGGTTTATTTCCTTCTTTGACTTCATTATTCGCTCCTTATCACTCTCCTTATTGAACTTAACTTTGATTAGTTGTTTGCCATCCTCATTTGCTTTTCCAACTTGGCTGCAGACAAAGTCTTCATTTTTTAGCAAAACATTGTATTTTTTGGCCAATTCTACTACAGTTCTAGTTAGATTTTCTTTTTTTACAACTGGTAATCCTGATATTATAATATTGTTTTTTAAATTTTTCCGTTCGATGTGGTTTTTTTCATTTTCTAGGTTAACTACCTTCTTTTGAAGATTATTTATTTCAATTTGCATGTTTTTGTTTATTTTTAGCTGCTCTTCATATTTTTTTGTTAAATCGTCCATTTTTTGGTCCATTTGGATTAGTTTTAACATTAGATCTTTTAGTGTTGGATCTCCCATGCCTTCCTTAACCTCACTCTCCGAGCATCCAGCACATTTCCAGCGTTTGCCGTCTGGTTTCTTCAGTTCAGCCTCAATTTTTTTCAGCCCATCTTTTGTGAGCCCTCCACACTCCATATGGAACCATTTTTCACATTTTGTACAGTTTAATGCGTAGGTATTTCGAGTTGTTTTCGTACACGATCCACATAAGCTCGCCATTTTTAAATATTTAATGTTTTTTAAAAAAAATAATATTTAATGTTTTTTTAGAAACAAAATATAGGTACCTAAATTATTACAAAAATTAATTAAACTTAATAATTCACATACTTTAATAAATAATAAATTTTATGCCTAAATAGGTATAGGTACCTATATTTGAAAAACGTTGTGTCTTTTTATTTTTTTACTAGATTTTCTAGGACAAATTCGTAAACTTACAAAAAGCATTTTTTTCACCTATTTTTTTAATTTTGTAATTTTTATATTGGTTTAGTTTCCCATAACAAAGATTTAATTATTTTGAAACAAAAAAATTAAAATTTAATGATTTAAATATGAATTACTTTAAAAAAATTAAATAAATTAAATATTACCTATTCATATTTTATTATATAATAAAATTATTGCCTAAATTTGTATTTGAAAAGATTTGTGCCTTTTTGTTTCCTTTCTAGGACAATCTTTTTGCGATGAATTTGTCTTATTTTCAGTTTCACCTATTTTAAATAATGAAAGTATTTTCTCCTCATTATTTTTTTATAAGATAAGTTAATAATAACAATATTAATTTTAGGTAACAAAGTTTTTTATAGTTTTTGTTTTAGACTAGAAATATTTAAGGTAGTATGATGGTATATTTGTTTATTTAAATATTACGTATGCATGTTATATGTCCTGAATCAGCCCTATTGCACCACATTGCACAATATTACACCACCGATGATCTCATCACCGATGACCTCATTTCCGTTCTTCTGCTGATCCTGCAGTAGCCCACAGTGCCCCTTTGTGTAAGTGAAGTGCGTAGTGCGAAAACAATGAACCATTGTATAGTTCTTAGTATTTAGTTTAGAGATAAGAAAAAAAAGACAAACAAGAATCCACGCTAACTATGAAAACTCTATATCTAACTACACCGAACTTATAGAAACCCCTTTTGTGAAATTTGACTGTTGTGATCACCTACCCTCAAGTGATAAACTCCCAAAACTAAAACCACTTAAAATTAGTAAATTCAACTTAGATGAACTAAACCTTGCCGAACATCAGTTAAATCATTTCAATGAACAATTAGACAACTTAATGAATGAACCCCTCGTAGAAAAATACACTTCATGGTTTATCTACGCTATAATTGTTATATTGGTAATAATCATAATAACCTACATCTGTTGTAAAATTCCGAACAAAAGAAGAATTATAAGCCGATTTCTCCAAAGCAATAATGGCAATCCCCCGCCACCACCTTCAAACGAAATCGTTTCGCTAAGAATCCTGACCAACTCATCAAGAAGACGCCCAGCTGTCCCAAGACTTCAACAACCCGTTGAAGAAAACATCTTTAACGATCAATGTTCTTTTGTTCAGGACTGTTTAATAATGTGTTCCCTAATTTCCCTAATTATAGTTCTTCGTTAGAACTATAATTCTTTTGGATGGGGAGGTGTTATATGTCCTGAATCAGCCCTATTGCACCACATTGCACAATATTACACCACCGATGATCTCATCACCGATGACCTCATTTCCGTTCTTCTGCTGATCCTGCAGTAGCCCACAGTGCCCCTTTGTGTAAGTGAAGTGCGTAGTGCGAAAACAATGAAACATTGTATAGTTCTTAGTATTTAGTTTAGAGATAAGAAAATAACGAACTATATTAATTAAGTAACTTTACCTTTAGTCCCTTAGTCTAAGATTGCTTCTCGTTCTCGACAGAAGTCTTTGCTTCTGCAATAATTATTTTTATATTTAATTTTAAGAACTGTTTGTGTGTGTTTGATTTCGTGTGTTTGTTTTATAATAAATAATTTTTTTTTAAAAAGACATTTCTTAATTCGGTCCCGCAACATGCATATTTTAATATAATATATTAATTTAGACATTAATTTTATTTGGTAAAGGCGTTTTAGAGTTATTTTTAAAAAAATATTCAGTCAGTTTCACTTGTTTTGATTCCCATTTAAGTTTTACACAAATTTACCTAACCTCAACAATAATTCTTATAATAATTATAATTATTGATATATTTGTATATTTTTTATTAACATATGGAAATATATTTTTTAAAGGCTTAACTTTTAAACAAAAACGAATCGCATCCATGTCATTTAAGAAAAAATGTTTATAATTAACCCAGCTATCATCTGACAAAGTTTGCCATAGAGCTTGTAGAGCACCCTGTATAAGATATTTAAACCTTTTCAAAATTATGATGTATAGACAAAATAAATGAAATGTTTATATAGGTACCTAAATTCAACAATACTTTTAAATTATTATAATATAAATAATTATAATTTAACGATAATTATTATTATAATAATTATAATTTAACAATATTATTAAATATTTAAGTATACCAACGTCATTATTTAAGAATATTGTTAAGTTTAAGTATCGTCTATGTATTTTAAATCAAATTTGCCTATAATTATAAATTTAGACAATATTTTTAAATAATGACTTATAATTAATTTAATAATAATTATTATTATTATAAAGAGAAACAAACGGAGTTTATTACATTTTTATTACATATGCACATAACAAAAAAATAATAAATTATCAGGAACACAAAAATACTAAATTACCAGTCGTCAAAGCGAACCAGGTCAGACTTGAAGTCCCCAAATTTATTATTAAGGGCGCAATGTCTTCGCAATCTAATAACTGTAGCTGTTGCCAACAAGCCTTATAACATTGTTTGCAGAATCCAGGGATAGAATCTTATAAACATAATGTATAACATTATTTATAATAATTTGCAACAAACGATGCTTCCGGACGAAATGTCACAATTACACAAATACGTCAAATATAAAATGACAGCGACCCATCAATTTCGTGAAAATACGTTTTAAAACAAGGAAATTGTTACAGTTCTTGGTAAACAATACGCAAATGAATGATTTTTTTTATAACACATCAGAATTACGCCTTAAAAAAGCAAATTTAATGGCAGTAACTTCAACAATTTAAAGTTGGTAATGCTGACGTCATTATATCGCATTGATGACGTGCACCCATATAGATTTGGCCGTGACTATATATATATAATAATTATAATTCAACAATATTATTAAATATTTAAGTATACCTACGTCATTATTTAAAAATATAGGTTAAGTTTAGGTATAGTCTAGGTATTTTAAATCAAATTTGCCTATAATTATAAATTTAGACATTGAAATAAAAAGAACTTATAAAATAGATCTCACACACAAACAATTTAATTAAAAAAACACTTCTTGACAGAGGCAACACAGCAGGGCTTCTGATACACCGCGGAGTGTGTCTCTTGTTGTTTATGCACCAACGAACAGTTAACCGCCCCGTCCCACATTACCGGGCTTCGACTAGCCAGTGTAATGCATTATATATATATATATATATATTAGGGTGGTCCTTAATAAGGATATTTTCAAATTTCTTTGCTCCCAGGGGCTCAAATGCTTCCAAATTAATAAAAAAAAATTCCCTGAAAATTTGAGCTCTTAATATTAACTCTAAGATAGTGCGCATTCCAATCTAAGTTTCCTATGGAAATAACATAGGAAAAATTACTTTTGTTGTTTATAATTTTATAACTTGGGAACGAATAAATTAAAAATTATAAATCATACATATTTTTATAGAGAATTTAACGCTCTACAAAAAAGGTCTCCTATAATTTTTCCATTAGTCTATTTGTTTAAAAGTTATTCAACGCCAAAGTTTAATTTTCATATTATTATTAATATTATGTTATTATTTTTTATGAAGCGCCGTTTGTGTCAAAATTAAAAGTGCTTATTTTGTTTTATAAATAATTAATTATATGCTTTACCAAATAATTTTTTTATAAAATTATTTTTTTTGTAAAAAATTTTATAAAATAATTTTTGTATAATTTTTTTTTGTAAATAATTTTATAAAATAATTTTTTTATAAAATAATTTTCAATTCGAATTAAAAATTATTTAATAAAAGACGACGGGCGCATTTATAAATTAATTTTTACTGCAGCCATCTCTATTTGTTTGTAGACACTCGAGTAAACCCGAGTAAACCCGAACGCCCCTCACCAGATACAATTTTATGACGGACTGGGCTTTTGTTTGACGCAATTTGGGGAAACGATTGAAAATAATAATTTATTATTTTAATTCATTATTCATTAATTTTTTTATCTACATTTATTTTTTTTTTTAGTTTTTAACAAGAATTCTTTATGTTTAAACGTTTTTTATAAGAAAGCACTTGTTAAAAACTAAAATAAATAAATAAAATAATTCTCTTGAAAACAAATTAAAATAAATAAATCAATTCTTTATTTTATAAAAAAATTATTTTATAAAAAAATTTAGAAAAAAAAAATTTTAAATAAATTATTTTATAAAAAAATTATTTTTTATTTTTTAGAAATAAAAATTTTTTTAAAAATTATTTTATAAAAAAATTATTTAGTAAAGCATATAATTAATTATTTATAAAACAAAATAAGTTTATTTAGCACTTTTAATTTTGACACAAACGGCGCCTCATAAAAAAGCCTTGATAATATTAATAATAATATGAAAATTAAACTTTGGCGTTGAATAACTTTTAAACCAATAGACTAATGAAAAAATTATAAGAGACCTTTTTTGTAGAGCGTTAAATTCTCTATAAAAATATGTATGATATACATAATTTTTAATTTATTCGTTTCCAAGATATAAAATTATAAACAACAAAAGTAATTTTTCCTATGTTATTTCCATAGGAAACTTAGATTGGAATGCGCACTATCTTAGAGTTAATATTAAGAGCTCAAATTTTCAGGGAATTTTTTTTTATCAATTTGGAAGTATTTGAGCCCCTGGGAGCAAAGAAATTTGAAAATAACCTTATTAAGGACCACCCTAATATATATATTAGGGTGTCCCTTATTTTTTATTTTTTCACGCATACCCTCTAATTATATTTATTACTTGTTTATATACTCCCAGTAAAAATTTCAGCTCATTCTATAAACG